TTTTTTAGCAATATGTTTACCCTCCAGGATACGTTAAGTAAAGGTGGGCTATGAAGGGTTGGGGGTCAGGGGCATCTAACCTGGTAGCAAACATTTGTTTTAAATAAGCTACACGGCAGACAACCCACAAATCTATATGTGAGAAAACTCCTATACAACTTTGCTTAACATTGTTCTATTAAGTTGAAATATGTTTATAAATAATCTGAAAGAAAAAAGGCCTGGCCCTGGTAGAATCAAAGTGCTAAGACAGCTTTAATAAAAATATCTAGGGCCTACACATCGTATCAGTAAAGGAAAAGAGAAAACGGATAAATGTTTTCGTAATTATAAATATAATTTGAGTCCCTATCATATTTGTCTTTTTAGCCAATCAGGGAAGAAAACGGTTATTAAAAGTTATTACTTAGGGCTATTTAGAGTCACTAAGGAATCAAGATGCCTCAGCCTTTTAGGTCAGGTAGGAAAAAAAAATTCCTGTGTCTAGGAAAGAAGTCAGGGTGAAGTTTGTTCTTATGTCTTACAGTTCGAACTAGAGTTACATTGAATTAAATGGCGTTTGTGACAGCTGCATTTAGTAATAAACAGTAGTCCATATGTAGGTTTAGAGATTTGTGTTTTTATCATTTCTGTTCCAGGTTATTTAACTCCTTTTTGCAACTAGATGTTAATTCCCTTAACTTGATATTTAATACGAAGTTAAACTTTTGTTTTATTTTGTTTTGTTGTTGCTGTTGTTGTTTGTTTTTTGAGATAGTCTCACTCTGTCACCCAGGCTGGAGTGCAGTGTTGCGATCTTGGCTCACTGCAACCTCCTCCTCTTCGGTTCAAGCGCTTTTCCTTCCTGAACCTCCTGAGTAGCTGGGTTTACAGGCGTCCGCCACCAAACCTGGCTAAATTTTTGTATTTTTAGTAGAGACGAGGTTTCACCATGTTGGTCAGGCTGGTCTCAAACTCCTAACCTCTCAGGTGATCCACCTGCCTCGGTCTCCCAAAGTGCTCTTGTTGCCCAGGCTGGAGTGCAAAGGTGCAATCTCAGCTCACTGCAACCTCTGTCTCCCAGATTCAAGGAATTCTCCTGCCTCAGCCTCCTGAGTAGCTGGGATTAAAGGCTCCTGCCATCACGCACAGCTAGTTTTTGTATTTTTGGTAGAGATGGGGTTTCATCATGTTGGCCAGGCTGGTCTCAAACTCCTGACCTCAGGTGATGACCGGCCTCAGCCTTCCAAAATGCTGGGATTACAGACGTGAGCCACTGCGCCCGGCCTGTAGTTAAACTTTTTAAAGAAAATATTTAATTAGTATTCTCAGTTCATTGAGTCAGGGATGTGCTGTGCATCAAACACAGTCTTATAACTAAGACATCCCCCTTTGCCTGTTGGCAGCTCCCAAAGAGAAGCAATGAAAGAAAAATGGGATATTTTTATTTGTGGCGAATATCACAGTATACTTAGAACCTCTATTTAATTTTCCTATTTTTAAGTAGTGAAAAAACCTCTAAGAGTTCTTTGACCTGACCATGATCACACAGCCATGTCAAAAAAAGGAACCTGTGGACTATTCTATGTACCCATGTGTTTATTTACCTATTCTACTTCTCTTCTCTTTGTACAGTAAAAACTTAGGTCTCAACTCGTTGGCTTAGATATTTCCTTAGATAAATAACTCCAAAGTGAGCTCTGAATCATACTTGCCTGAGAATATTTGAATGTACTCTTTTATAAATCCTTATATCTAAGGTCTTCAGAGAATAAGGAAAAAACATCCTGAAACATCCTAAGGAATTGGCAGAGGCGAGGAAATATGAGCTTGTTATGAGGGGGAATTCTGCTGAGACCTCTGAAGAAGGGAATGGTTTATTGTTCTGATTTCAGCAGTGAAAGGGATGTTGGCTGGATGCCAGGTGGGGAAATGAAACCTGTAATGAAAAAAAACCCTGCCATCAGAAATCTAACCACATCTTCCTAGCACTCACTGGAATTTTGTAAAATAGCTTTTGCAAAGTAACCTCACAAGCATAAACATTACATTTATATCAGCCCTACTATACTAATCTGCCTAGGATTGTGATGCCTTTCGGCTCCACCAACTAGAGTAAGAAGGGCATTCCTGAAATTATACCAGACAGATGATTTGTGGTCTTAAGTAGGAAGAAACCCAGATAGGAAGGCTGAACCCAGTCCTCACTGGTGACATGCAGCCTGCACAAGACTACTTAGCTTCAAAAGAAACTCCAGCTCATCAGGAATAAAGCTTGACAGATGCTAGAGGCAATCTTAATATAGGCCTGGCTTAAAGAGTGTATCTAGATCAGTAAATATTAAGTGATTAAAATCATATGAAATATGTTCTTTGACGACAGTGGAATAACTTATTAGAAATCAATAACTTATTAGAAATCAATAGCAGATAGGAATTTAGGAAATTCACAAGTAGACGGAAATGAAACAACACACTCTTAAATAACCAGTGGGTCAAAAACTACCAAAACAGACTCAAGAAAAAACAGAAAGTTTGAACGTATCTGTAAAAAGCAAAAAGATTAAATCAGTAATTAAAAACCTCCCAAAGAAAAGTACGAGACCATTTGGCTTCACTGGAGAATTCTACCAAATGTTTAAAGAAGAATTAGCACCAATCCTTCTCAAACGCTTCCAAGAATTAAAAGAGTAGCTACAACCTATTCTATGAGGCTATTATCCTGATGTCAAAACCAGACAAAAACATTAAGAAAGAGAAAAGTATAATATACTTTAGT